ACTCTTGGGCCGTCGTGGGGGCTCCCGGAGGCCGTCTTGGCGGCCTCTGCGGAAAAGTGCCTGGGGCTGCCGCGCAGCGTGGGGATGCAGAACAGGCTTCATGGGCAGAAACGCGGAAAAACAACTATGGGAAAATCAAGTGTGTGAGCTTTGGGGAGCTCTCCTGGAGGCCTCTGGGAGGCCTCTGGGAGGCTTGGGGCACCAGGCCGGGTCATGACTAATGGGAGGAAGAGGAGGAGGAGGAGGAGGAGGAGAAAGGATGAGGAGGAGGAGGAGGAGGAGGAGGAGGAGGAGGAGGGGGAGAAGGAGAAGGAGGAGGAGGAGGAGGAGGAAGAGCAGCAGCAGCAGGAGCAGCAGCAGGAGGAGGAGGAGGAGGAGGAGGAGGAAAAAGGATGCCGACGACGAAGACGACAACGAGGCGGGCCCCAGGGCTCGGAGGGTTCGGAGCCGGACGGGGAGGACGAGGCGGATGGGGAGGACGAGGCGGACGGAGAGGGCGAGGAGGACGAGGCGGACGGGGAGGGCGAGGCCGCCCGAGATCGCGCCGCGGACGGGGCGGGCTCGAGGAGGGGCTCCGGCCTCGAGGGGGGGCGGGCGAGGCCCCGAGGGGGCCCCCCTGGCCCCGAGGAGGGTCGAGGGCTCGGAGCGTCTGCGGCACTGCCCGCGCCGCCCCGGGCGGCCCCGGGGGCGCCCGCTGGCCTCGAAAACAGCTTCGCGCGTGAGATCGTTCCCCGGGAGAGGGGGGGGGGGGGGTCGGCGGCCTCCGCGGCGCCGCCGAGGGGGGGGGGAAGTCGGGGGGGAAGAGGGGAGGGGGGGGGGGAAGTCGGGACATACTCGGAGAACTATGCCACTCGGTTTTGCCGCAGCGCCCGCCTCCGCAGTGAGGTGCCCAAAGGCTCGTGTGAATGCGAGCGCGCGAGGAGGAGGAGGAGGAGGAGGAGGAGGAGGAGGAGGAGGAGGAGCAGGAGGAGGGCCCTGGCCAGGCCCCAGGCCCCCCCAGAGACCACTGCCACTGGGCGTGCCCAGGAAGACCGAGGCCCGCGAGGCAGATCGGGGAGGCGGAGGGGCAGCAAGTGGCGGTGTTGGGGGGGGGGGGCGGGGCGGAGGAGGTTGGAAGGAGGGGGAGGGAGGGCAGGAGGGCAAGGAGGGGGCTCCCTGGCTCGCTCCCTCCCCCCCCTGGGACCCCAAACTCGCGCGTCGAACACCAGGAGTCCGCCTGCGTGCCTTCCGCTTCCTGAGGCTCCCGTTGATGTAAGCATACAAAGGGTTTTTTTTGTAGGCTTCCTGAGAAGCTCGGCTCTGCGCCCCCCCGGGGAGAGTGAGGAGGGGCGGTCCCTCTCAGAAGGCTCGGAAGGCCTCCGGTCTTCTGAGAAGCGCTTAAGCCTAGAACACTTGTCAGAAGGCGCGAGGGCTTCTGAGAACCCCCGCCGCCTGCTCAGAAGGCCTGCTCCTTCTCGCTCCCCCGCCAGGCGCGCCAGCGAGAAGCCCTCACGAGAGCCCCGCAAGGCCGCCCCAAGACACGCCCCCGAGCAGGCCCCAGGAGCCCTGCTGGGCGCGAGTCCCACCAGCCCTTCAGGGCGGGAGTGGTTTGGCGGGCTTCCTCTTCCAGCTCCATTCCCCCCCTGCGGGGAAGGGGTCCCCCCCCCCTGGACCTGCACAGGGCGCCCGGTGAGGAGGTGCCAGGGCGTCCAGAAAAGGCCTCGGCGAGAGGGCCCAAATCATTGATTTTAATACGGTTTCGGGCCGATGTTGGCCTCATGGGAAGGGGGGTGCGCTAACTCACCACAGCCCGTCAGTCGATCGATTCTCCTAGATGACCCAAGGTGGCCCCCGAGCAATGGGGCCCCCCAGAGGCACCCAAGACGCCAAGACGCCCCAAGAGGCCCCCGATATTGTTAACAAACACCCAAGACGCCCCATGAGGCCTCCAAGAGGCGTCAGGCCTGTCTGCTCGCCCGCCTCCTCCTGCTCCTTTTCCTCCTCCTGCTCCTGCTGCTCGTCCTCCTCCTCCTCCTCCTCCTCCTCCTCCTCCTCGTTCTCCTTTTCCTGTTTCTCCTTCCTTCCTCCTTCTCCTCCTCCTCCTCCTCCTCCTCCTCCTCCTCCTCCTCTCCTCCTCCTCCTCCTCCGCCTCCGCCTCCTCCTCCTCCTCCTCCTCCCTCTGCCTCCGCTCGCCTCCGCCTCCGCCTCCGCCCTCCTCCGCCTCCGCCTCCCTCCTCCTCTCCTCCTCCTCCTCCTCCCCTCCTCCTGCTCCTTCGCTTCCTCCTCCCCTCCCCTCCTCCTCCTCCTTCCTCCTCATCCTCCTCATCTCCTCTTCCCTCTCCATCTTCCTCTTCATGTTTTTCCTCCTCCTCCCTCCTCCTCCTCCCCCTCCCCCATCTCCCTCCTCCTCCTCCTCCTCCTCCTCCTCCTCCTCCTCCTCCTCCTCCTGCTCCTGCTTCTCCTCCGGCTCCTCCTCCATCCTTAGGGTAGGACGTCTTACTTGCCCAGCCCTGTGTTCCACTGCGGCAACTCCCAGGGGCCTCAAGAGGCCCCCTGGAGAAGCCCCTCAGAGGCCTCCAAGCAAGTCACCGAGTGCCCTGTCGGAGACGACTACGGCACGGTGGCGGGATAGAGCCGAAGACCACTCGATATTTCATCACATCAGCCATCGCTCCTCTGCGCGAGGGCCGCGGGTCAAAACGCCCGGCCGTCAGAAGCTTCGCGGAGAAAGTAACGCCAGCCACTCCAGAGCAGCGCGTGGAGAGACGCGATGGCATGCCTTCCAGCAGCGTGCGTGCCTCCGCCCGGTCTAATGTTACCGAGGCCGCTAGCAGCGCAAGCCATTCGGGAGACCACAGAGTCACCAGTTCTTGCGGCATTCGACCGATGCTTCGGCCAGCGGCCACATCCAGCATGGCATTTCTGGCACGGGGCGCCGCCGGAGGGCCAGAGGAACAACCATCGACGTGTCAGCCATGAGGTGGAGGCTCGTCTGCGATAAACTTTCAAGGCCGCTTCCAACAGAGAGCGCAATTACAGGAGGCTGCGTGCCGATAGTCCACAAGTGCGACTGGCAGTGCCTGCGCCTCCGAGTAAATCATGACCTCGAGGTGATCCACGCAGCCCCCATTGGTCGACGTATCAGCCCAGACCGAATCGAAGTCGACGCCGTCGTCATTGTCTGGAGGCTTCGTGGCCTTCTGCATATGCTTCAAAGTGCGAAACGACTCGCCAAGCGCAACGCGGGCAACAATTAAGGTCCTCGTGGCGTTCTTTGCCAACTGGTTAGCACGCTCCTCTGTGTAGTCGTCGGCTTTGGAAGAATTGGCGGCAAAATATGCAGCGGTGCCGAAGAGCTTGCCAGTGGTTTCGCCGCCACGCTGCGGGTTGAAGCCACCTGTGCAGATTTTCTCCAAGGCGGACGGCACAGTCCCATGGAACAAGAAGTGCTCGTTCAGGTCGAAATCGTACCTGTTTGCTGGCACTTTCAAGTGCGAAAGGGCCGCAATTGGAGAGCACCTGCCCTGTCGCCTCTTTCCCTCGAGATTCTCTAGCTTTGCCACATATTGTTTTTGCAACCTCGGGTTCACTACAGCTCGCACCCGGATGACATCCAACTGCGGCGGATCACCATACACTGAGGACCGGTAAGACTCCCTGTGCCTTGCAACTGTGCTGACGACCATGCCTGACAGAAACTGGCCAAATGGATCGTCTTGTGGTACTGCGTCAACCCGGTACTCCAAATTCGCCGGCCGAACGGGCCAAAGGGGCGTGCTGAGATCTCGGGTGATTCAGAAGGTTCCGAGCGTTTGTGCACACGCCTACACTGCGCGGACGGGGCGGCCCCTGGGAATCCCCAGATGAGAAGCACCCCGGAGACAGCGCGCCGGAAGCGCGCTGGACTGGGGCCAGAGCCAGTGTTCGGCCTGGCCACGGCTTCCACGACCCTCGGGAGCGCTCCGGGAGCACTCCGCGGGGCCTGCAGGAGATCCCGAGGGGGTCCGGCACGTTCCGACGCTCCTTGACGGCCCAAGAGGCACCCAAGATCGCCGCAAGACACCCCAAGAGTCTCCGAGGAGGGCCAGACAACGGCCCAAGAGGGTCCCAAGACAAGACGCCCCAAGAGGCCACCAAGAAGACTCTGGAGGCCCCCATCGAGGGCCCAAGAGGACCCTGGACTGAGATTTCGAGCCTTTCCCCCAGGAGGTGGCCTCAGAGACTGCCAGGCCGCCCCCAGGAGGTCTCCAGAGGCCCCCACTGCCCCCCTAAGAAGGTCCCGAGCGGCTCCCAAGAGGCCCCAGGAGGCCCCCCAAATGGGCCCGCGAGCACGCAGGCAAGTTCAAACGACGCTACGACATGGGCAGGCGGAATGAGCCAAGCGATTGAATAGTGGGAGAGTCTTGGCAACTGGACAGCATGCAACATCCGATACTTCTCCAAAAGCTCCTCGGGAGATAGACCAGTGCGCTGATAGCCTCCGTCCGTCTTCTGTCGTTTGTGAGACGGCTCGGGCTGGCTCTCCGTGTCCCAGAGCCTCAGCACCGTTTCGCCATCGGAGCCAGAAGCGATCCTCGTCCCGTCTGGGGAGAAGCAACAACACCGAACCGCACCGCCGTGACCGCTCAAGGTCTGCTGCAGAGCACCGTCCCTCGCGAGCCACAGCTTCAAAGTCTTGTCATCAGACCCAGACAGAATCCTCGTCCCGTCCGGAGAGAAGCAACAACACAGAACCTCATCGCGGTGCCCGCTCAAGGTCTGCTGCAGAGCACCGTCCCTCGCGAGCCACAGCTTCAAGGTCTTGTCATAAGACCCAGACAGAATCCTCGTCCCGTCCGGAGAGAAGCAACAACACAGAACCGCATCGCGGTGCCCGCTCAAGATCTGCTGCAGAGCACCGTCCCTCGCGAGCCACAGCTTCAAAGTCCCGTCCTCAGACCCAGAAAGAATCCTCGTCCCGTCCGGAGAGAAGCAACAACACAGAACCTCATCGCCGTGACCGCTCAAGGTCTGCTGCAGAGCACCGTCCCTCGCGAGCCACAGCTTCAAAGTCTCGTCATAAGACCCAGAAAGAATCCTCGTCCCGTCCCGAGAGAAGCAACAACACAGAACGCAACCGCCGTGCCCGCGCAAGGTCAGCTGCAGAGCACCGTCCCTCGCGAGCCACAGCTTCAAAGTCTTGTCATAAGACCCAGAAAGAATCCTCGTCCCGTCCGGAGAGAAGCAACAACACAGAACCCCACCGCCGTGCCCGCTCAAGGTCTGCTGCAGAGCACCGTCCCTCGCGAGCCACAGCTTCAAAGTCTCGTCCTGAGACCCAGAAAGAATCCTCGTCCCGTCCGGAGAGAAGCAACAACACAGAACGCAGTGGCCGTGCCCGCGCAAGGGCCTCCCCGCGGAAACAGCCATTGCTCGCAAGCAGCCTCTGCGGACTCGGAGCCAAGGCAGCTGCGGACATGTCGGGTACCAGATTCCGAGACGCGGCCCCGCCCCCTGCCGCTCAGCATGCAGCCGGGGAGATGTAAGACTCGGGCACGGGGGACTCGGGCTGGCGTGACAGGGCCATCATGACAATGACGAGACCCAATCTGCAATTTGGCGCGAGCTCCCGCTGCAAGCATCCCGCGAACACCGCACCGTCAGAATCCAGGGCGCGCTCGTCAGAAAACGTCGGCAAGCCCGAGTCCCGGCTTGCTCGAGTCTCACGTTTATGGCGCTGGCGACACACACACACCCTCCCTCCATCCCCAGAGACCCGATGCCGTGATTTTTTCCATACGGGGTCCCCGGAACTCTCGACCCATGCCCCAGGACCGGTTCTTCATCCTGAGTCGTTTTTTGACGGTCCCGAGGCCCGGCGAGGGCCCCTGGAGGGCCAAAACTTGCGAAAAACCTCCGTCTTGATTCTTTCCATACGTTGGATCTCTGGGTCGCCACACACACACACACACCCCAGACTGGCAGGCGCCGCGCCGCCGGCCGCCCCTCCGGGGGGGGCCGTGCGCGAGCGGGCACGGGCGCGCCCCAGGGGTGGCAAGGGCTAGTCTGAGCTCGCGCATGGCGCCACCGTTCGGCTACGCGTAGGAGTGACCCCTGGGCAAGAGTGACCTCTGGTGCGCAGCTCAGCGGGGGACGCGGGGGGGCCAAGCATGGGCGCGCAGGCCGCTGCCATCACATCGCCTTCGGCGATGGGGGCACCCCAGTGGGCCCGCACCAAAGGTCACTCTGGCGAAAGGTCCCTCTTACGTCTAGTCGAACCGTGCTGGCCTCCCTCCTCCAGCAACACTCGGCAGCGCCAACAGCTTCGCCGACATCAGCTCCCCGAGTGATCAAGTCGGGCGTGTCCCCCTACAGGGGGATTTTCGACAAAAAATTAAACATACTCCAAACCATACGGCAAAATGGACAAACAATGCTAAAACAAATAGTTGTTTAACATTCCCCCTGCAGAGGGACTAACAACGCTAAAAAACAGCAAAATGGACGAACAATGCTAACAAAAATAATCCCCATATCATTTTTTTTTACTATTTTTGAACATTCCCCCTGCAGAGGGACAGGCCCGACTTCACCGCATGATCCGCGCATGACGTCACTGTGCTGCCCCGCCCCCCAAGCAGCCCCCGAGAGCGGCAACAGTCTCGCAAGTCGCGGCCGCCCACGGGCGGGCGGCTCTGGGCCGCCGAAGCCCTGCACAGAACACACGGGAAGTAAGGCCCCGGGCCTCCGATGCGCCGCCGAGGTCCCTGGGCGGGCCCCCCCCGGCCACGTCCCCCGGGGCTCTGGCGGCCCCGGGCCGCCGAAACCTTGTAAAAACACAGCGCAAATGAGGCCCCGGGGCCCCCCAGGCCCCGCCGAGGTCCCTGGGCGGGACCCCCCCGGCCACGTCCCCCGGTATTCCTCTTCCTATATTTTCACAAGCCCAGGCGGGGGGGAAACCCGTCCCCCCCCCCCAAACCGGACTCCCGGGATCTGGGGCTTTGGGTGGGGCTTTGGGACCCTCCGGACGGGCCTCGAAGCGGTTCCTGGGCCTCGCAGGGCGTTTTGCCAAGCCTTCCCAGCACACCTGGGGCGATCAGGGGGGTCATCGGAGACGTCCCAGAGACCCCCAAGACAGCACAAGAGCGCTCCAAGAGTGACCGACGTGACCTCAAGATTTTTTTTTGGGGGGGAGGGAGTTTGGGGTCCGAAGCCGCCTGGGAGGCTCCAAAATCGCCCAAGAGACATCCGAAAGGGCTTCCAGGCAGTCCAAGAGAGCCCCAAAACGGCACAACACGGGTCCAAGATGGCCCTCAGAGACCCCCATGGCGGCCCAAGATGGCCCAAAGACACCCTCCGAAGCATTCCAAATCGTGACCCGGTCGTTCAGGGAGACTGCGGTAGGAGGCAGGGTGAGGCGGAGGGGCAGCAAGTGGCGGTGCGGTGTTGGGGGGGGGGGGGCGGGGCGGAGGAGGTTGGAAGGAGGGGGAGGGAGGGCAGGAGGGCAAGGAGGGGGCTCCCTGGCTCGCTCCCTCCCCCCCCCTGGGACCCCAAACTCGCGCGTCAAACACCAGGCGTCCGCCTGCGTGCCTTCCGCTTCCTGAGGCTCCCGCTGATGTAAGAATGCAAGGGTTTTTTTGTAGGCTTCCTGAGAAGCTCGGCTCTGCGCCCCCCCGGGGAGAGTGAGGATGGGCGGGCCTTCTCAGAAGGCTCGGAAGGCCTCCGGCCTTCTGAGAAGCGCTTAAGCCTCAACGCAGGACACTTGTCAGAAGGCGAATGCGCCACTTCTGAGAACCCCCGCCGCCTGCTCAGAAGGCCTGCTCCTTCTCGCTCCCAACCTCAGGCGCGCCAGCGAGAAGCCCTCACGAGAGCCCCGCAAGGCCGCCCCAAGACACGCCCCCGAGCAGGCCCCAGGAGCCCTGCTGGGCGCGAGTCCCACGCCAGCCCTTCAGGGCGGGAGTGGTTTGGCGGGCTTCCTCTTCCAGCTCCATTCCCCCCCTGCGGGGAAAGGGGTCACCCCTCCCCCCTGGACCTGCACAGGGCGCCCGGTGAGGAGGTGCCAGGGCGCCCAGAAAAGGCCTCGGCGAGAGGGCCCAAATCATTGATTTTGATACGGTTTCGGGCCGATGTTGGCCTCCTGGGAAGGGGGGTGCGCTAACTCACCACAGCCCGTCCGTCGATCGATTCTCCTAGATGACCCAAGGTGGCCCCCGAGCATGGGGCCCCCCAGAGGCACCCAAGACGCCAAGACGCCCCAAGAGGCCCCCGAGAATGTTAACAGACGCCCAAGACGCCCCATGAGGCCTCCAAGAGGCGTCAGGCCTGTCTGCTCGCCCGCCTCCTCCTGCTCCTTTTCCTCCTCCTGCTCCTGCTGCTCCCTCCTGCTCCTCCTCCTCCTCCTCCTCCTTCCTTTTCCTCCTCCTCCTCCTCCTCCTCCTCCTCCTCCTCCTCCTCCTCCTCCTCCTCCTCCTCCTCCTCCTCCTCCTTCCTCCTCCTCCTCCTCCTCCTCCCTCCTCCCCTCCTCCTCTCCTCCTCCTCCTCCTCCCCCTCCTCTCTCCTCCTCCGCCTCCTCCTCCGCCTCGGACTCCGCCTCGCCTCCGCCTCCGCCTCTCTGCCTCCGCCTCCGCCTCCGCCTCCGCCTCCGCCTCCGCCTCCGGACTCCGCCTCCACCTCCTCTCCTCCTCCTCCCTCCTCCTCCTCCCCTCCTCCTCCCTCCTCCTCCTCCGCCTCCGCCTCCGCTCCTCCTCCTCCTCAACCTCCTCGTCCTCCTCCTCATCCTCATCCTACTCTTCCTCTCCATCTTCCTCTTCATGGTTTTCCTCCTCCTCCCTCCTCCCTCCTCCCCCCTCCCCCATCTCCCTCCTCCTCCTCCTCCTCCTCCTGCTTCTCCTCCGGCTCCTCCTCCATCCCCAGGGTAGGACGTCTTACTTGCCCAGCCCTGTGTTCCACTGCGGCAACTCCCAGGGGCCTCAAGAGGCCGCCTGGAGAAGTCCCTCAGAGGCCTCCAAGCAAGTCACCGAATGCCCTGTCGGAGACGACTACGGCACGGTGGCGGGACAGAGCCGAAGACCACTCGATGTTTCATCACATCAGCCATCGCTCCTCTGCGCGAGGGCCGCGGGTCAAAACGCCCGGCCGCCAGAAGCTTCGCGGAGAAAGTAACGCCAGCCACTCCAGAGCAGCGCGTGGAGAGACGCGATGGCATGCCTTCCAGCAGCGTGCGTGCCTCCGCCCGGTCTAATGTTACCGAGGCCGCTAGCAGCGCAAGCCATTCGGGAGACCACAGAGTCACCAGTTCTTGCGGCATTCGACCGATGCTTCGGCCAGGGGCCACATCCAGCATGGCATTTCTGGCACGGGGCGCCGCCGGAGGGCCAGAGGAACAACCATCGACGTGTCAGCCATGAGGTGGAGGCTCGTCTGCGATAAACTTTCAAGGCCGCTTCCAACAGAGAGCGCAATTACAGGAGGCTGCGTGCCGATAGTCCACAAGTGCGACTGGCAGTGCCTGCGCCTCCGAGTAAATCATGACCTCGAGGTGATCCACGCAGCCCCCATTGGTCGACGTATCAGCCCAGACCGAATCGAAGTCGACGCCGTCGTCATTGTCTGGAGGCTTCGTGGCCTTCTGCATATGCTTCAAAGTGCGAAACGACTCGCCAAGCGCAACGCGGGCAACAATTAAGGTCCTCGTGGCGTTCTTTGCCAACTGGTTAGCACGCTCCTCTGTGTAGTCGTCGGCTTTGGAAGAATTGGCGGCAAAATATGCAGTGGTGCCGAAGAGCTTGCCAGTGGTTTCGCCGCCACGCTGCGGGTTGAAGCCACCTGTGCAGATTTTCTCCAAGGCGGACGGCACAGTCCCATGGAACAAGAAGTGCTCGTTCAGGTCGAAATCGTACCTGTTTGCTGGCACTTTCAAGTGCGAAAGGGCCGCAATTGGAGAGCACCTGCCCTGTCGCCTCTTTCCCTCGAGATTCTCTAGCTTTGCCACATATTGTTTTTGCAACCTCGGGTTCACTACAGCTCGCACCCGGATCACATCCAACTGCGGCGGATCACCATACACTGAGGACCGGTAAGACTCCCTGTGCCTTGCAACTGTGCTGACGACCATGCCTGACAGAAACTGGCCAAATGGATTGTCTTCTGGTACTGCGTCAACCCGGTACTCCAAATTCGCCGGCCGAACGGGCCACAGGTGATTCAGAAGGTGATTCAGAAGGTTCTGAGCGTTTGTGCACACGCCTACACTGCGCGGACGGGGCGGCCCCTGGAGGTCCCCAGATGAGATGCACCCCGGAGATAGCGCGCCGGAAGCGCGCTGGACTGGGGCCAGAGCCAGTGTTCGGCCTGGCCACGGCTTCCACGACCCTCGTGAGCGCTCCGGGAGCACTCCGCAGGGCCTGCAGGAGATCCCCAGGGGGTCCGGCACGTTCCGACGCTCCTTGACGGCCCAAGAGGCACCCAAGATCGCCGCAAGACACCCCAAGAGTCTCCGAGGAGGGCCAGACAACGGCCCAAGAGGGTCCCAAGACAAGACGCCCCAAGAGGCCACCAGCAAGACTCTGGAGGCCCCCATCGAGGGCCCAAGAGGACCCTGGACTGAGATTTCGAGCCTTTCCCCCAGGAGGTGGCCTCAGAGACTGCCAGGCCGCCCCCAGGAGGTCTCCAGAGGCCCCCACTGCCCCCCTAAGAATGTCCCGAGCGGCTCCCAAGAGGCCCCAGGAGGCCCCCCAAATGGGCCCGCGAGCACGCAGGCAAGTTCAAACGACGCTACGACATGGGCAGGCGGAATGAGCCAAGCGATTGAATAGTGGGAGAGTCTTGGCAACTGGACAGCATGCAACATCCGATACTTCTCCAAAAGCTCCTCGGGAGATAGACCAGTGCGCTGATAGCCTCCGTCCGTCTTCTGTCGTTTGTGAGACGGCTCGGGCTGGCTCTCCGTGTCCCAGAGCCTCAGCACCTTTTCGCCATCGGAGCCAGAAGCGATCCTCTTCCCGTCTGGAGAGAAGCAACAGCACCAAACCGCATCGCGGTGCCCGCTCAAGGTCTGCTGCAGAGCACCGTCCCTCGCGAGCCACAGCTTCAAAGTCTCGTCAACAGACCCAGAAAGAATCCTCGTCCCGTCCGGAGAGAAGCAACAACACAGAACCAAATCGCCGTGACCGCTCAAGGTCTGCTGCAGAGCACCGTCCCTCGCGAGCCACAGCTTCAAGGTCTTGTCATAAGACCCAGACAGAATCCTCGTCCCGTCCGGAGAGAAGCAACAACACAGAACCGCATCGCGGTGCCCGCTCAAGGTCTGCTGCAGAGCACCGTCCCTCGCGAGCCACAGCTTCAAAGTCTTGTCATCAGAACCAGAAAGAATCCTCGTCCCGTCCGGAGAGAAGCAACAACACAGAACCCAATCGCCGTGACCGCTCAAGGTCTGCTGCAGAGCACCGTCCCTCGCGAGCCACAGCTTCAAAGTCTTGTCAGAAGAACCAGAAAGAATCCTCGTCCCGTCCGGAGAGAAGCAACAACACCGAACCAATTCGCTGTGACCGCTCAAGGTCTGCTGCAGAGCACCGTCCCTCGCGAGCCACAGCTTCAAAGTCTTGTCCTCAGAACCAGAAAGAATCCTCGTCCCGTCTGGGGAGAAGCAACAACACTGAACCCAATAGACGTGCCCGCTCAAGGTCAGCTGCAGAGCACCGTCCCTCGCGAGCCACAGCTTCAAAGTCTTGTCAGTAGACCCAGACAGAATCCTCGTCCCGTCCGGAGAGAAGCAACAACACAGAACGCAACCGCCGTGCCCGCGCAAGGTGCCCCCCGCGGAAACAGCCATTGCTCGCAAGCAGCCTCTGCGGACTCGGAGCCAAGGCAGCTGCGGACATGTCGGGTACCAGATTCCGAGACGCGGCCCCACCCCCTGCCGCTCAGCATGCAGTCGGGGAGATGCAAGACTCGGGCACGGGGGACTCGGGCTGGCGTGACGGGGCCATCATGACAATGACGAGACCCAATCTGCAATATGGCGCGAGCTCCCGCGGCAAGCATCCCGCGCACACCGGACCGTCAGAATCCAGGGCGCGCTCGTCAGAAAACGTCGGCAAGCCCGAGTCCCGGCGTGCTCGAGCCTCACGTTTATGGCGCTGGCGCCACACACACACCCTCCCTCCATCCCCAGAGACCCGATGCCGTGATTTTTTCCATACGGGGTCCCCGGAAATCTCGACCCATTCCCCAGGACCGGTTCTTCATCCTGAGTCGTTTTTTGACGGTCCCGAGGCCCGGCGAGGGCCCCTGGGGGCCAAAACTTGCGAAAAACCTCCGTCTCGATTTTTGTACATACGTTGGATCTCTGGGTCGCCCCCCCCCCCCCAAGACTGGCAGGCGCCGCGCCGCCGGCCGTCCCTCCGGGGGGGGGCCGTGCGCGAGCGGGCACGGGCGCCCCCCAGGGGTGGCGAGGTCTAGTCTGATTTCGCGCATGGCCTCCCTCCTCCAGCAACACTCGGCAGCGGCAACAGCTTCGCCGATATCAACTCCCCGAATGATTAAGTCGGGCGTGTCCCCCTACAGGGGGATTTTCCACGAAACATGAAACATACTCCAAACCATACGGCAAAATGGACAAACAATGCTAAAAAAGAATCCCCATATGGGGCACCCCAGTGGGCCCGCACCAAAGGTCACTCTGGCGAAAGGTCCCTCTTACGTCTAGTCGAACCGTGCTGGCCTCCCTCCTCCAGCAACACTCGGCAGCGCCAACAGCTTCGCCGACATCAGCTCCCCGAATGATCAAGTCGTGCGTGTCTCCCTACCAGGGGGATTTGTGACGAAAAATAAAAAGTACTCCAAACCGTACGGCAAAATTGGCAAACAAATGCTAAAACAAATAGTTTTGAACATTCCCCCTGCAGAGGGACTAACAATGCTAAAAAACAGCAAAATTGACGAACAATGCTAAAAAAATAATCCCCATATCATTTTTTTACTATTTTTGAACATTCCCCCTGCAGAGGGACAGGCCCGACTTCACCGCATGATCCGCGCAGGACGTCACTGTGCTGCCCCGCCCCCCAAGCAGCCCCCGAGAGCGGCAACAGTCTCGCAAGTCGCGGCCGCCCACGGGCGGGCGGCTCCGGGCCGCCGAAGCCCTGCGCAGAACACACGGGAAGTAAGGCCCCGGGCCTCCAATGCGCCGCCGAGGTCCCTGGGCGGGCCCCCCCGGCCACGTCCCCCGGGGCTCTGGCGGCCCCGGGCCGCCGAAACCTTGTAAAAACACAGGGCAAATGAGGCCCCAGGGCCCCCCAGGCCCCGCCGAGGTCCCTGGGCGGGACCCCCACGGCCACGTCCCCCGGTATTATTTTCACAAGCCCGGGCGGGGGGAAACCCGTCCCCCCCCCCAAACCGGACTCCCGGGATCTGGGGCTTTGGGTGGGGCTTTGGGACCCTCCGGACGGGCCTCGAAGCGGTTCCTGGGCCTCGCAGGGCGTTTTGCCAAGCCTTCCCAGCACACCTGGGGCGATCAGGGGGGTCATCGGAGACGTCCCAGAGACCCCCAAGACAGCACAAGAGCGCTCCAAGAGTGACCGACGTGACCTCCAGATTTTTTTTGGGGGGGAGGGAATTTGGGGTCCGAAGCCGCCTGGGAGGCTCCAAAATCGCCCAAGAGACATCCGAAAGGGCTTCCAGGCAGTCCAAGAGAGCCCCAAAACGGCACAACACGGGTCCAAGATGGTCCTCAGAGAGCCGCATGGCGGCCCAAGATGGCCCAAAGACACCCTCCGAAGCATTCCAAATCGTGACCCGGTCGTTCAGGGAGACCGCGGTTGGAGGCAGGGTGAGGCGGAGGGGCAGCAAGTGGCGGTGCGGTGTTGGGGAGGGGGGGGGCGGGGCGGAGGAGGTTGGAAGGAGGGGGAGGGAGGGCAGGAGGGCAAGGAGGGGGCTCCCTGGCTCGCTCCCTCCCCCCCCCTGGGACCCCAAACTCGCGCGTCAAACACCAGGCGTCCGCCTGCGTGCCTTCCGCTTCCTGAGGCTCCCGCTGATGTAAGAATACAAAGGACTTTTGTTGTGCCTTTAGGAGGCTTCCTGAGAAGCTCGGCTCTGCGCCCCCCGGGGGAGAGTGAGGAGGGGCGGGCCCTCTCAGAAGGCTCGGAAGGCCTCCGGCCTTCCGAGAAGCGCTTAAGCCTCAGCGCAGGACACTTGTCAGAAGGCGCGAGGGCTTCTGCCGCCTGCTCAGAAGGCCTGTTCCTTCTCGCTCCCCCCCCCCAGGCGCGCCAGCGAGAAGCCCTCACGAGAGCCCCGCAAGGCCGCCCCAAGACACGCCCCCGAGCAGGCCCCAGGAGCCCTGCTGGGCGCGAGTCCCACGCCAGCCCTTCAGGGCGGGAGTGGTTTGGCGGGCTTCCTCTTCCAGCTCCATTCCCCCCCTGCGGGGAAAGGGGTCGCCCCCCCCCCCTGGACCTGCACAGGGCGCCCGGTGAGGAGGTGCCAGGGCGCCCAGAAAAGGCCTCGGCGAGAGGGCCCAAATCATTGATTTTGATACGGTTTCGGGCCGATGTTGGCCTCCTGGGAAGGGGGGTGCGCTAACTCACCACAGCCCGTCCGTCGATCGATTCTCCTAGATGACCCAAGGTGGCCCCCGAGCATGGGGCCCCCCAGAGGCACCCAAGACGCCAAGACGCCCCAAGAGGCCCCCGAGAATGTTAACAGACGCCCAAGACGCCCCATGAGGCCTCCAAGAGGCGTCAGGCCTGTCTGCTCGCCCGCCTCCTCCTGCTCCTTTTCCTCCTCCTGCTCCTGCTGCTCCGCCTCCTGCTCCTCCTCCTCCTCCTCCTCCTTTTCCTGTTTCTCCTCCTCCTCCTCCTCCTCCTCCTCCTCCTTTTCCTGTTTCTCCTCCTCCTCCTCCTCCTCCTCCTCTTGCGCTCTTGCGCTCCTCAGCGGTCGTCCCGATGACACAAGACGCCCGCCCTTTACATGAATCGGAAACTCAGCGCCTGAGGGGGGCAGGGATAACCGCCTCCAGTTTAGAGTGCGAGGGATCCTTCCCCTGCTTCAAAATCCCCAGGGCTTTCCGTTTCCACTCAGTGTCGGGGTTTCCCGCACACTCTTTGCACAACTCCTTGACCTTCGAACGGGCATACGCTCCACAGCGCACGCACCAGGTCAGCCCTCCATTCTGCCAGAGACGATGGGTGGGGTGGGCCTGGGACACAATCCTCGGACGCCCAGGACACGGCAGCTGCACCAGCCGAGAGCGAATCGCCCGCGCCAGCCCACAGACACCACATCCCCACCCACCGCCAGGAGCCTGCGAGACAACGTGACCCTTATCATCTGGGACTATCTCTAGAATCGGGGCCTCCGAATTTCTAGGCTCTCTTTTGGCACGCTCAGAGTATGATGATACATCAGGATAGCCCAGTTGGTGGACATGCTTGAGAACTGCCACCATATATCTGGAGATGAGCGTAACCTGATCATGATGATGCCGAAGACGATCCCGAAGGTGATGATTTGCTGGATGCGCCTTGGCACCTGTCTTGGCCCAGGAGTCCGCCTCCTGGTTGCCTCTGAACCAATGAGGCTCGCAGCCTCTTCGTTGCGCCGCCGCCTCCGACATATGCGAAAGCATCCAGCACACGTTCACCGAATTTGCTCCGACGCCCTCGATCCTCATCCAGATGAGGCGCCAGAGCTCCGCGTAGCACTTGTTGGATTTTACCGTCCCCTCCCTTCCCATGTTCCACCCGTCGTAGACCATTTTACAATCCGTTATGACGTGGATACTGGGTCCCATGAGGCAAAGCGCCATGTAGAGGGCGTAAAGCTCACTGGACGGCACGTCCTGCACTGGGAGGGGGGAGGGCCCGTAGGCCACTGCGTCCACCTGCATACTCGGGCTGATTGAGGCGACCGCCCAACCAGCACGCAAAAGCCAACGAACATCTCCGTCGTAGGCGGAGCCGTCGATGCAGACGGTGTCGCCTAGCACTCCACTCTCGGGCTTCACAGCCCACCTATACTCGGCACCTTGGAGGATCTTTGGGAACTCGGTCCTCGCGGAGTCCACCAGGGCTCTCGTGAACAAGATATCAGGCTGAGTCAGGGCCTCGGCAGCGGCCCCCATTCCACTATTGTCATGGTCCCTCCTGATCAACTCGGAGCCGTCACAGCCCCATAATCGGTGATAAACCGACCCCCTCTTCTGGAGGCACCACTGGCACCGATCATCAATCACGTATCTCTTCCTGAACACGTCGGCCTGAGTCCAGAGACCTCCAGAAACCTGTGCGAGAAGCAGACTGGCCCCAAGGAAATCTCCAGCACCTCTTAACCTAGCAAGTTCATCACGCAGAGGCTCCACCTATGGCCCCCAAGAGGCATTGGAATGAGCTCCCGCACGTATACGTAGCAGCCGTCTAGTCGCTTCATCCGCCAGGGTTTGCACAGTCCTAGGCCCTACTTCTTTGATGTTGATGGTCACTCCGTCAGCGTTGACCCAAACATCCCAGGAGACAGCTTCCCACTCGAGCCTTCGAAGGGTGAGCACTACCGCTCCTGCTGGGCCTAGGACCGTCCTCCACCCTTGAGACCTAGCCTTGACCGCGTAGTCGAAGGCGTGCTTCATCTGGGCACCCGTGGCCCACGAATCAAATACTGCTCTGACCCACATCTGCAGAGGCAAAGAATTTGCTGCGAACATCGGGTCGAGCTTCTCGACCTCAGCCAAAAGGAACTGCAAGCTGCGGCTGCGGCCCTTGACAGGCCCGAAAATAGCCGCCCCTGTCGAGGCGCGCAGCTGCTCCAACTGCGCGTCGCCGAGACCGACGACCGAAACACCATACATTACCGCCAGCGTGGGGCCTCCTCGATACACATTCTGAAGCGGCTTCCGAGAGAATCTGATGGCCCTGAACCTTCGCACCCTGCCCCTGGTCGTCTTCAGTCTCTTGTTTGTGACGTTTCTACCCTTTCCAGTCCTCAGCTTGAAATCGACCCCGAGGTTTTTGGTCGCCTGAACATGCTTGAACCCAAATTCCCGAAGCGCCCATGCCAGCTGCTTTCCAAGTTTCGGGTCCGAGGCCACCAGGATCGATTTACGTCTCGGAACCTTCATCTCGAGCTTCTCCAGGGACCTGCAAACAAACAGAGTGCACCTAACTAACTGAGTCCGAACATGCTTCTGATCACCCACTGCCTGGAGACCAGTGTCGTCTACCATCAAAGAAATGCCGATCCTCGGCCACTTCTTGGCCGCATCGTCGAAAACATCTAACAACACTACTTTCAGCAGCGTCGTCGCATACGAGCAGCCTGCCACAATGGTGGCGTTCAGCTCAAAGGGCAAAGACACCGCCTCTCCTACTTTAATGACCCGCTTGCCCGAGTAAACCAACAGGAGAAACCTTAACCTCCTCAAACTGAACCCGTGCTTGTTGCATGCTCTTATCAATTGCTCGCGCGTGATTCGTTCGTACGCCTTCTCCAGATCAATCAGCGCGCATCCACTGAAAAATTTGCTGGCCCGAGCGGCCCCGTTCAACAGCGCCTGCTTCCAGGTAGCCATCTCGCAATTCTTACCCTTTCCTCCGTACATGTACGTGCGCGCGTGCTTGTTCTCCCACCTTTCCGCCTCCTCATGCCGAAGCCGACTATAGAGCCGCACAGGGGTGGAGATAATCCCAGTGGGCCTCCTCCCCCCTTCAGACTTCTGCAAAAACGGCAAAATGAGCAGCGCAATCTGCTCGGGCAGCTGGGAGTACGTGTCCCGCAAATACATCAGGACACTTAGAGCAAGCAGGCCAGAGGCACAGAGCTGCTTCAGCGCGTGCGGGGCCCAATTACAGACTCCCACGGCGGTATGCTGCTTGAACTTCCCCAACACGGACCTGATTTTATCTGGCGCAACAGGCGGCTTCGGGCCCTCGAGGGGCATCTCACTGAGCATCCTGGGAGCGACCTTGGGCACCTCCCCGAACCTCCAGATGTGCTTCCACTCCTCCTCCAGGGCCCCCACCTGATCCTGAAAACCACCAGGGGCCCCATCGAGGCCAGGGTCCGCGGGGATCCAGTCGTTGGGCTGCTTCGTCCACCTGCGAACTCCCCCTCCGCCGTTTTCCAAGGCCGAGCGGGCCCATTGTATCCGCTCTTGTTGTCGAGACCTTTTCCAAACCTGCTCCTCACCCTGGATACACTTTACATGGTCCTGGATCGCTTCGTGCAGCGCCTCGGCGTGGTATCCTTCCAGAGAAAAATGCTTATGCCTCCAGTTGACCCAGCGCTCGCACTCCCACAGGATCGTGGGCGGCCCCCTTGCCTTTTTTCAGCAAGTCCTGCACCTGCTTATCCTGGCCTGAACGGCCCTTGCGGAGCAGAAACAATAACTCCTCCATCCTGACGTTATACCTCCCCATTGCCCTGGAAACTGGAGAACCCAAAGGGTAGGGGCCTCCGACTTTCGTACGAGCGGGCCCCCAAACGAACCTGAAGGGGGCTCCTCTTCCTTTGCACCCATCGGCCTGCGCTGGATCGATCTGGTAAGTGTTCACCAGCTCCTGCTCAGCCAATGCACAGAAATCCGCATACGTATCCTTCGCCTGCTCAGCCGTGAATACCGAGCCTTCCACGAAGGTCTCCAACCTATCTGGCAACTCTTCCCAAGCTGGCGGTGGGCCTGGTACAGGTCCCACTGGTAACTCATCGGGAAACTGACGCGGTTTGGCCAGCACGCGAATCTGAGCAAGATGCGAGTCCGTGCGAAGTACTAGCTTAACTGGGAAATGCGTCGAAAGCTCTGTCTCTTCAATCCTATCGCATCTTACCACTGCTGGGACCAGTCCTCCTGAGACTATGAAAAAATCGATCGTTCTCCATTCCTTGCCCACTCTGCACGTAGGCTTCCCAGGCTGGACAATAACTAACACCTCCGAACTTCTCCAGGATCCCAAGGGCTCTGATTTCATCAGCCGTCGCATTGAAATCCCCTCCAATGACAAAAGGGCTTCCCAGACGTATACAGTGACTCTCCGAGCTGCATCAGGATCTGGCGCCCTTGGGCCCCTGCACCTTCCCCCGACGGTAAGTAGACCGAGACCCCAATGATGCCACCCTTCAGCAGTCCACCAATCCACGCAGATACAATTCTCGAGGTTGGTCTCGGCAAACCTTCCAGGGCACCCATGCCTACTCCTAATCTACAGGCGGCTCCTACCCCCGAAGACAGGCCTCCAGACTGGGTCGCATCACAGGCTCCTAACCTTACATTCCAACCAAACTTCAAAAGCGTGCTGCTGGATTGGGCCAGATTGGCCTTCTCTACTTTGCACTCCTGAAGGAAACATGTGACTCCATCACATTCCTTCTCCAAAAAACTCTGGCATCTCGGCCAACTAGTGACATTGGCCGAGAAAAAACTCCACAGGCTAGGAACTGGACAGCTTAGACCTCGATCCTGGGCTCCTGCTGCGCCTGTCTCGTTTTGCCACCTCAGCCTTCTCCTCCTCAAGGCGCTGGGTCGCCTTGCTGAACAGGCTCTGGATGGTGGCCTGCACTTCGGGATCTGTGAGCTTGCCATCAGACTCGAGCTGAGAGCGAAGGTCAAGAAGAACACCACCATCAGCTTCGACCATCTTGACGTCGCGCTCCGTGTCGGCGCCGCCGCCTGCGGCGCCCTGGGCGCCTGGCGTCTGGGCGCCAGCGCCTGCGCCTCCTGCGCTGGCGGCGCCCGCGCCCGCGCCCGCGGCGGCGGCGCCGACGGTGCCGCCTGACGCCGCGGCGCCACCAGGCTGACTCCCCTGCATCGCCGCCGCGGCCTGCTGCGCCACCACCGCCATGGCCGCCCTGAGCGCGTCGACCGCGCCCTGCAGCTGCGGGGCCAGCTCCGACGGCACCGCCTGCTCGAACTTTCCAGCGCCTCCTTGATCGGCACCTCGAACGCGTCGGTCGCGATCTGCTGCGCCAGCCCCTGGGCCCCCAGGTGCTCGGCCGCGCGCCGCTTGGCCTCGCCCAGCTGTTTCTCCGTCTCCTGCAACTGTTGCTTCGCCACGACCGCCGCCATGATCGCCTGCTGCGCCTGCTCCTCCAGCTTCGCGAGCCTCTGCTTTTGATGCAGCACCTGCTGCGAGAACTTGCCGATCTGCAAATTGGCCTGCTGTGCCTCCGCCTGCGCGCCCTGCAGCCCGAAGTTGGCCATGGCACGCGCGTCGGCGAGCTGATCTCTGTGCGACTGCGACAAGCTTTGACCCAGAACGGCGAACTGTTCTTCCGACGTGGCCATCCACATCTCACGCTCCTCCTGCGCGAGGGCCCGTGGCGGTTGCCCACCACCTGGCCCTTTGCCACCCTGAGGGGACTTGCCCCCCCCAAGGCCCTTTTTGCCGCCCTTGTCATGCTTGCCGCCACCTTTGCCTCCATCTCCCTGCCGCAGCACTGGAGGCCCTTGATACCAAACCCCGCCTGGCACCGAGTACTGTGCCCAATAGCTCTGATCAGGCCGGGCTGCTTGAACTGGATTGCACCCGTCGCATCCGCTCTGGCGGCAGACACGGCGGTGCCCGTAGTTGTAGAACCCGCACTTGCCACAGTACCACCCTGGCGACATGGCTCGAGGGGCTCCTGCGTCCTGGGACAGAAACCACAGCCGCGCTGGCGGCTCGCCGTGGCGGGAACGAACGTGCTCGCGAAAACCTGGCCTGAATCGGCCTCGAGGGTGGCCACGGATGGGCAATAAGACCAATCAGGTAACCTCGCAACTCCGTTGCTTCCCCCCGTTTGGTCTTGAGCCAAAATGGCTACGGATCCTCCTCCTCCTCCTCCTCCTCCTCCTCCTCCTCCTCCTCCTCCTCCTCCCCCTCCTTCTCCTCCTCCTCCTCCTCCGCCTCCTCCTCCGCCTCCTCCTCTGCCTCCGCCTCCGCCTCCGCCTCCGCCTCCGCCTCCGCCTCTGCCTCCGCCTCCGCCTCCGCCTCCGCCTCCGCCTCCGCCTCCGCCTCCGCCTCCGCCTCCGCCTCCGCCTCCTCCTCCTCCTCCTCCTCCTCCTCCTCCTCCTCCTCCTTCGCTCCGCCTTCCGCCCTCCGCCTCCTACTTCCTCCTCTCCTCCCTCCGCATCCTCATCTTCCCTCTCCTCATCCTCATCCTACTCTCCTCTCCATCTTCCTCTTCATGGTTTTCCTCCTCCTCCCCTCCCTCCTCCCCATCCCCATCTCCCTCCTCCTCCTCCTCCTGCTCCTGCTTCTCCTCCGGCTCCTCCTCCATCCTTAGGGTAGGACGTCCTACTTGCCCAGCCCTGTGTTCCACTGCGGCAACTCCCAGGGGCCTCAAGAGGCCGCCTGGAGAAGCCCCTCAGAGGCCTCCAAGCAAGTCACCGAGTGCCCTGTCGTAGACGACTACGGCACGGTGGCGGGATAGAGCCGAAGACCACTCGATGTTTCATCACATCAGCCATCGCTCCTCTGCGCGAGGGCTGCGGGTCAAAACGCCCGGCCGTCAGAAGCTTCGTGGAGAAAGTAACGCCAGCCACTCCAGAGCAGCGCGTGGAGAGACGCGATGGCATGCCTTCCAGCAACGTGCGTGCCTCCGCCCGGTCTAATGTTACCGAGGCCGCTAGCAGCGCAAGCCAATCGGGAGACCACAGAGTCACCAGTTCTTGCGGCATTCGACCGATGCTTCGGCCAGCGGCCACATCCAGCATGGCATTTCTGGCACGGGGCGCCGCCGGAGGGCCAGAGGAACAACCATCGATGTGTCAGCCATGAGGTGGAGGCTCGTTTGCGATAAACTTTCAAGGCCGCTTCCAACAGAGAGCGCAATTACAGGAGGCTGCGTGCCGATAGTCCACAAGTGCGACTGGCAGTGCCTGCGCCTCCGAGTAAGTCATGACCTCGAGGTGATCCACGCAGCCTCCATTGGTCGACGTATCAGCCCAGACCGAATCGAAGTCGACGCCGTCGTCATTGTCTGGAGGCTTCGTGGCCTTCTGCATCGGCCTCAAAGTGCGAAACGACTCGCCAAGCGCAACGCGGGCAACAATTAAGGTCCTCGTGGCGTTCTTTGCCAACTGGTTAGCACGCTCCTCCGTGTAGTCGTCGGCTTTGGAAGAATTGGCGGCAAAATATGCAGCGGTGCCGAAGAGCTTGCCAGTGGTTGCGCCGCCACGCTGCGGGTTGAAGCCACCTTTGCAGATTTTCTCCAAGGCGGACGGCACAGTCCCATGGAACAAAAAGTGCTCGTTCAGGTCGAAATCGTACCTGTTTGCTGGCACTTTCAAGTGCGAAAGGGCCGCAATTGGAGAGCACCTGCCCTGTCGCCTCTTTCCCTCGAGATTCTCTAGCTTTGCCACATATTGTTTTTGCAACCTCGGGTTCACTACAGCTCGCACCCGGATGACATCCAACTGCGGCGGATCACCATACACTGAGGACCGGTAAGACTCCCTGTGCCTTGCAACTGTGCTGACGACCATGCCTGACAGAAACTGGCCAAATGGATCGTCTTCTGGTACTGCGTCAACCCGGTACTCCAAATTCGCCGGCCGAACGGGCCAAAGGGGCGTGCTGAGATCTCGGGTGATTCAGAAGGTTCCGAGCGTTTGTGCACACGCCTACACTGCGCGGACGGGGCGGCCCCTGGGGGTCCCCAGATGAGAAGCACCCCGGAGACAGCGCGCCGGAAGCGCGCTGGACTGGGGCCAGAGCCAGTGTTCGGCCTGGCCACGGCTTCCACGACCCTCGGGAGCGCTCCGGGAGCACTCCGCGGGGCCTGCAGGAGATCCCCAGGGGGTCCGGCACGTTCCGACGACGCTCCTTGACGGAGGCCAAGAGACACCAAAGATCGCCGCAAGACAGCCCAAGAGTCTCCGAGGAGGGCCAGACAACGGCCCAAGAGGGTCCCAAGACAAGACGCCCCAAGAGGCCACCCAGCAAGACTCTGGAGGCCCCCATCGAGGGCCCAAGAGGACCCTGGACTGAGATTTCGAGCCTTTCCCCCAGGAGGTGGCCTCAGAGACTGCCAGGCCGCCCCCAGGAGGTCTCCAGAGGCCCCCACTGCCCCCCTAAGAATGTCCCGAGCGGCTCCCAAGAGGCCCCAGGAGGCCCCCCAAATGGGCCCGCGAGCACGCAGGCAAGTTCAAACGACGCTACGACATGGGCAGGCGGAATGAGCCAAGCGATTGAATAGTGGGAGAGTCTTGGCAACTGGACAGCATGCAACATCCGATACTTCTCCAAAAGCTCCTCGGGAGATAGACCAGTGCGCTGATAGCCTCCGTCCGTCTTCTGTCGTTTGTGAGACGGCTCGGGCTGGCTCTCCGTGTCCCAGAGCCTCAGCACCTTTTCGCGATCGGAGCCAGAAGCGATCCTCTTCCCGTCTGGAGAGAAGCAACAGCACCGAACCCTACCGCCGTGCCCGCTCAAGGTCTGCTGCAGAGCACCGTCCCTCGCGAGCCACAGCTTCAAAGTCTTGTCCTCAGACCCAGAAAGAATCCTCGTCCCGTCTGGGGAGAAGCAACAACACTGAACCCAATGGCCGTGACCGCTCAAGGTCAGCTGCAGAGCACCGTCCCTCGCGAGCCACAGCTTCAAAGTCTTGTCATAAGACCCAGACAGAGAGAAGCAACAACACAGAACCGCATCGCGGTGACCGCTCAAGGTCTGCTGCAGAGCACCGTCCCTCGCGAGCCACAGCTTCAAAGTCTTGTCATAAGACCCAGACAGAATCCTCGTCCCGTCCGGAGAGAAGCAACAACACAGAACCCAATCGCCGTGACCGCTCAAGGTCTGCTGCAGAGCACCGTCCCTCGCGAGCCACAGCTTCAAAGTCTTGTCAGAAAAACCAGAAAGAATCCTCGTCCCGTCCGGAGAGAAGCAACAACACAGAACCAATTCGCTGTGACCGCTCAAGGTCTGCTGCAGAGCACCGTCCCTCGCGAGCCACAGCTTCAAAGTCCCGTCAACAGACCCAGAAAGAATCCTCGTCCCGTCTGGGGAGAAGCAACAACACAGAACCTCATCGCCGTGACCGCTCAAGGTCTGCTGCAGAGCACCGTCCCTCGCGAGCCACAGCTTCAAAGTCTTGTCAATAGACCCAGACAGAATCCTCGTCCCGTCCGGAGAGAAGCAACAACACAGAACGCAACCGCCGTGCCCGCGCAAGGTGCCCCCCGCGGAAACAGCCATTGCTCGCAAGCAGCCTCTGCGGACTCGGAGCCAAGGCAGCTGCGGACATGTCGGGTACCAGATTCCGAGACGCGGCCCCACCCCCTGCCGCTCAGCATGCAGTCGGGGAGATGCAAGACTCGGGCACGGGGGACTCGGGCTGGCGTGACGGGGCCATCATGACAATGACGAGACCCAATCTGCAATATGGCGCGAGCTCCCGCGGCAAGCATCCCGCGCACACCGGACCGTCAGAATCCAGGGCGCGCTCGTCAGAAAACGTCGGCAAGCCCGAGTCCCGGCGTGCTCGAGCCTCACGTTTATGGCGCTGGCGCCACACACACACACACACACCCTCCCTCCATCCCCAGAGACCCGATGCCGTGATTTTTTCCATACGGGGTCCCCGGAAATCTCGACCCATTCCCCAGGACCGGTTCTTCATCCTGAGTCGTTTTTTGACGGTCCCGAGGCCCGGCGAGGGCCCCTGGGGGCCAAAACTTGCGAAAAACCTCCGTCTCGATTTTTGTACATACGTTGGATCTCTGGGTCGCCCCCCCCCCCCCAAGACTGGCAGGCGCCGCGCCGCCGGCCGTCCCTCCGGGGGGGGGCCGTGCGCGAGCGGGCACGGGCGCCCCCCAGGGGTGGCGAGGTCTAGTCTGATTTCGCGCATGGCCTCCCTCCTCCAGCAACACTCGGCAGCGGCAACAGCTTCGCCGATATCAACTCCCCGAATGATTAAGTCGGGCGTGTCCCCCTACAGGGGGATTTTCCACGAAACATGAAACATACTCCAAACCATACGGCAAAATGGACAAACAATGATAAAAAAGAATCCCCATATGGGGCACCCCAGTGGGCCCGCACCAAAGGTCACTCTGGCGAAAGGTCCCTCTTACGTCTAGTCGAACCGTGCTGGCCTCCCTCCTCCAGCAACACTCGGCAGCGCCAACAGCTTCGCCGACATCAGCTCCCCGAATGATCAAGTCGTGCGTGTCTCCCTACCAGGGGGATTTGTGACGAAAAATAAAAAGTACTCCAAACCGTACGGCAAAATTGGCAAACAAATGCTAAAACAAATAGTTTTGAACATTCCCCCTGCAGAGGGACTAACAATGCTAAAAAACAGCAAAATTGACGAACAATGTTAAAAAAATAATCCCCATATCATTTTTTAACTATTTTTGAACATTCCCCCTGCAGAGGGACAGGCCCGACTTCACCGCATGATCCGCGCAGGACGTCACTGTGCTGCCCCGCCCCCCAAGCAGCCCCCGAGAGCGGCAACAGTCTCGCAAGTCGCGGCCGCCCACGGGCGGGCGGCTCCGGGCCGCCGAAGCCCTGCGCAGAACACACGGGAAGTAAGGCCCCGGGCCTCCAATGCGCCGCCGAGGTCCCTGGGCGGGCCCCCCCGGCCACGTCCCCCGGGGCTCTGGCGGCTCCGGGCCGCCGAAACCTTGCACAAACACAGCGCAAATGAGGCTCCGGGGCCCCCCAGGCCCCGCCGAGGTCCCTGCAGCGGGACCCCCCCGGCCACGTCCCCTGGTATTCCTCTTCCTATATTTTCACAAGCCCGTCCCCCCCCCCCCAAACCGGACTCCCGGGATCTGGGGCTTTGGGTGGGGCTTTGGGACCCTCCGGACGGGCCTCGAAGCGGTTCCTGGGCCTCGCAGGGCGTTTTGCCAAGCCTTCCCAGCACACCTGGGGCGATCAGGGGGGTCATCGGAGACGTCCCAGAGACCCCCAAGACAGCACAAGAGCGCTCCAAGAGTGACCGACGTGACCTCCAGATTTTTTTTGGGGGGGAGGGAATTTGGGGTCCGAAGCCGCCTGGGAGGCTCCAAAATCGCCCAAGAGACATCCGAAAGGGCTTCCAGGCAGTCCAAGAGAGCCCCAAAACGGCACAACACGGGTCCAAGATGGCCCTCAGAGAGCCGCATGGCGGCCCAAGATGGCCCAAAGACACCCTCCGAAGCATTCCAAATCGTGACCCGGTCGTTCAGGGAGACCGCGGTTGGAGGCAGGGTGAGGCGGAGGGGCAGCAAGTGGCGGTGCGGTGTTGGGGAGGGGGGGGGCGGGGCGGAGGAGGTTGGAAGGAGGGGGAGGGAGGGCAGGAGGGCAAGGAGGGGGCTCCCTGGCTCGCTCCCTCCCCCCCCCTGGGACCCCAAACTCGCGCGTCAAACACCAGGCGTCCGCCTGCGTGCCTTCCGCTTCCTGAGGCTCCCGCTGATGTAAGCATACAAAGCGCCCCGCAATTGCGGATAAGAGTGAGAGGGCGGGCGCGGGCGACGCGGGCGTCGTCAAGCCGGCGGACATCGTGGCCCCCACCTTCCCTGTCGATGGCGCTCTCCTCCTCCTCCTCCTCCTCCTCCTCCTCCTCCTCCTCCTCCTCCTCCTCCTCCTCCTCTTCCTCTTCCTCGTCCTCGCCCTCATCGTCATCGTCATCCTCCTCCTCCACCTCGTCCTCCTCCTCCTCCTCCTCTTTTTCCTCTTCTTCCTCTTCCTCCCTCTCCCCCCCTTGTCCTTTCATCATCGTCCCTCCCATTGTCGTCCCTCTCACCCCTCATCGTCCGCCATTCTCCTTCTCCCATTGTCGCCCTCATCCCCAATCATCAATCAGCATCAGCATCAGCATCAGCATCATCATCATCAGCATCAGCATCAGCATCATCAGCATCAGGATCATCATCATCATCATCATCAGCATCAGCATCATCATCATCATCATCATCATCATCATCATCATCATCATCATCATCATCATCATCATCATCATCATCATCATCATCATCATCATCATCATCATCATCATCATCATCATCATCATCATCATCATCATCATCATCATCCCCCTCCTCCCCCTCCTCGTCCTCCTCCTCCCCCTCCTCCCCCTCCTCCCCCGCCTCCCCCTCCTGCTCCTCCTCCTTTTCTTTCTCCACATTCTCCTTATATCCTCTCTTCTTCCGCGTTCTCCTCGTCCCCTGTTTACTCCTCCTGCCTCCCCCTCCTTTCCCAAGATAACTGCAACGCAATCCTTTTTTCCACTTTATGCTCCCCGCCTTCTCTGATCAAGGCAACTCGCCAGGGCAGAGTTGCTGGACGGGTTGGTGTGGATGCGCGGGGCTTGAAGAGGTCCTTGCGGGCTCAGACGGCATGCAGAAATCCGCCGCCGCGCTTGTGCGGCATTGGTTTGTTCAGTGAACGTGGTTTAGGTCGCGGGTGGGTCGCGGGCTCTCCACCTCCACCTGGAAAGAATGCAAAAGCAGCCCGCCGCAGGCGCCAAAACAATTGGTTTGTACACTGAACGTGGTTTGGGTCGCGGGTGGGTCGCGGGTTCTCCACCGGGAACGATTGCAAAAGATGCCCGCCGCAGGCGCCGAAAAATGTGGTTTGTACCCTGAACGTGGT